TATTAAAAAACTTAATAAAAAATTTTTTTAATTAAATTAATCAATAATAAATTATTTATTTTATTAAAAATATTAATAAAATAATTAAATCTTTATAAATAATAATATGTATTACTTATAAAAATAAAAAAAAATTATTAAATATTCAATAAAATATTCTATTTACAAATTAATAATACAAGTAACTTGAAATAAAAAAGAATATCAAAAATATTTTAATAAAAGTTAAAAAAAAAAAGTATAATTATATTAGGTAATAAAATAGAAATGAGTTTAAGCTTAAACTTGAAAATAAAGATCTTTAAAGAACTTAACGAGTAAGATAAAATATGACATAAAATAATTAGTTTTGACTTTTATTAGGATTTGACAATATTTACAATATTGATAGTGAAAAGAGTTTTCATCTGAACTATTAATAAAACAATATAGTACTTCAAAGTTACACTTAAAGTTAATAAATTAAGATAAATTAATTAAAAATGATATACAGTATATCTGTATAATTACAAAACGTTTACTAAAGCATATGTGACTAACCTTACAAAGGATTAAAAAAAAATAGCTCGCAAATTTTATATAAAGAATTAGAAATAATAAATATATTTTTTATAATATATAGTATTACTTGCCAACTTTTATATAAAAAATTAGAATAAATATTTTTTGCAACCCCCTGTATATACTGTATAAAAATTCACGAAGACCATTATCCAATAATGGTTTCAATAAAATAATTAGATTTACTAATGCAGTATCTAGTCTAAACAAAGTACCCAGCATACCAATAAAATTAAAAAGGCTAAGTTAAATTCATAATTGCATCAATTTGGCTTAGGTCCAGTAAATAAAAACCTTAAGAAAAAGGCGAAATTATTAAAAAATATTCAACCAATTATAAATAGAAAGTATGAAAACATACCATCTGCTACGGCAATCAACTGCTTCTTTCCGGACCAGTCGTTTTTTGTCATCCAAAGCAACACCTATTTCTTTTAAAATTTTTGATTTGAAAGGATATAACACTTCAAATGATATGGTGTCAGGGAACGCACCCAGACATTGTAATGCGGACATGCGAACTCTCTTTATAAAAAAAAAATATATATATATATATATATCGATGAGATTACAATACATATGCGTATTGGAATGTAATGTTAGATATACCATAGTGTTCTCATCCGTCGCTCGAATAAGTGATAACATTAGTGGAATGATTGACGATACATGCTCCGTTATTATATGTGGCGTTTCAAGTGCGATCAAATAAAAAGTGTCGATGGTGGATACTTTGAGATTAGGATCAGGTAACGATAACGAATGAATAAGCAAAGGAAATAACTAAATGGTAAAATGAGAAGATAAACAATTATATTTTACGAAATAACACAGTTCAAAGAATTTTTTGATGATATTTACCGGAGTGAGTTCGCTCAATAGAATCTGTTTTGGCACGTTTCGCAATAAATGTGACAAGGCAACCAGATAGTTATCTAATTAGAAACAATAAATTCATGTTAATTCTAATTCAAATAAACAATTATTAAGTAAAAGAATTACACATGGTATATAGATCCAAGCATATGCATGTGAAAAACAATTCTTTTTTTCTCTATTTCATAAAATTATTATATTTTATGAATTTGGTGATAACCGACAAAACCAATTTATCACCTTACGTGCATATACTTTTGAAAGACGCCATTATAAAATATGTTACCATTATTTGATCTCTTAAACCCTTCGACTAATTTTGGCATGACGTAATTAAAGAATTGTTGCTTGTGGAGAAGCTGAGGATAATAATGATAAATAAATTATTATCAGGTAGTTTAAAAGCAGTTAAATAATAAATTACCTTTATTATAGAAAAGCTTTGTTTGCTCAAAATATCACTATTGCCAATGATCACGCCAAATCCTTCTGATGCTTTCCTTCCCAAAATGGAATCTTCGAATAGATTCATTATTTGGTTTGTGCAATCATGTCCAAGTGGGTGTGTACGAAGTACCAAGGCCTTTGTTAACTACAGAAGGCATTTGAATAAATCAAAATATATTCGCAGTAATTTCCCAAAACTGAAAATATTATGATCTTAAATACCCAAAGGTAATGATACAATGTCACATTTCTATGAGATTCAGAAGATAATTGACTAGTCAATTCTCCGAGTATGTTATTCCGTACAAAGGTCTCTAATTCTCTCTCTGAATAGAGAAAAAAAAAAATCTTTTTTTTTAATATTTAGTCGTTCATGGTATTGTTTCTGTAACAACAAAATATGCATTAACCTTGGCTCCATTTATTCATTATCGAAGCGGCTAATTGAGCTAATGAATGTTGTTGCTCTTCATTTGTGGATAACAAAGAAGTGGTCATCACCTTCGACAAAAATTCAGAAATATCTGGTACAGGATATGAAACCTAAAAATGCAAAAAAAAATTTCTATATTAGAAATAAAATAATGAACTTCAATATTATTGATTTTATACGAACCTCGGGTCTTATATAGCAAACGGACGAGGAAAACAATAAAGTCAGGTTTTTCTGAGATTGTCTCGAATCAGGCTATATAGATGGTGTTTAATAATGATGTTAACTTTTGTTCTTTATTGCTTATTAAAATATTTATTATTAATTGAGACTAACTAAGAGCGGTTGAAAAGGAACTTCATGTTTACTCTTTTCGATTTCAGAAAACGGAAGAAAACTTATATTCCCTTGGATAAAAAGATCAAAAATTTGGGCAATAAATTCCGTTTGTTCGCTAATAATGAATTAAAAAGCATTAAAATTCTTTGCGTACAAAAAGAAAAATAAAAAAAGAAAAAAAAATTCACGAGAATTCAACTCATACCTCGAATTCAAGTTCATTGTGATTATTGAAATTATCCCAGTGATAATTTTAATGATTTCTAGATTGCAAAAAACGTATTCTTCAGAAATATCTCTGGTCAGAGTGGGGCCAACACATTTGGCAAGAAGATGAGGTACAAGAATATTCACATGTTGTGAAATATCACAGTGATGTAAAGATGATTTTTTTATGAGCAAAGATTGAAGCGACCGTAACAACGCTCCTGTGTATTCAATGTTTAAATCAGAAAATGCTACATAATAAATAAATAAATAAATATTTAATAAATATAAAATAAATTGATTAATTTATCATAAAACAAGGTCATGGCATACAAGAATGAACACCATCCAACTTTAATAGAACTTCGGGTACTAGAGCTTCGAATAAGACAGGCTCAATTGGTACTTCAGAAAGTGCCTTGAGAGCATTGATGTACTTGGCACCGTGAATGTTAAAAAGATTCAATTCCTCGACGTTGGAAGGGAGCTGAGAAACGAGCGTCGGAAGAGTAACTTCTAATACAATTTTTGTTTTGTAACGAGCCGCATTTTCAAGAGAGCTTATGGTCTTTTTTCTATAGAATTACAAGGAAGAAAATATCAGAATTTTTAGTTCTTGAAAAGTACAACATAAAATGTAGCTCGTAATTACACAATGTCCTGGTCACTATCATTAAGAACAATCTTATTAAAGTATTGTAAAATAATTCCGATCTCATTATCTGATAAAAAATCATTTAATAAGATCATGTCATATAATCCACGTAGACCGCACAACCGTAATTCGCTATACTCGTTAACCTCCAATAATGCTGGACCAAATATTCCTAGAAGATCATCTTTGTATGGCACTAAAGGATTACTAATATGTCGGTCACCTAATATGTATAAACTCGTTTGTTTAACATATTTGAAACTGATACACGAAAACAACACATTTTATTGCACATATAAAAGAAGAAAACCTTGATCATCCTGTGGGTCTTCGATCGAACCATAAAGATGCCGAGCCGCGTCAATATATTCCATCAATACCTCCAATATCCCTTTCTTTCTCGTTGTCAGATCACAATTTCTATACTGATCCAGCAATCCATGCATTGTCGTGAGAACGATGAGATTAAAGGAAGGATCTAATACAAACAAGAAATTATAAATCTTAGACAATAAAAAACGATATTTAAATAATAAAAACTTACCAGAAGCCATCGCACAATACTTTAATATCTTTCCACTTGGTTTAGATAACTTAAGTTCTGGTGTTTTAAGATTCTCCATGCATTCGGAAACAATAGTCTTCAAAAATTGCTCCAAGCGATCTGATCTCCCAATGACACCAACGGACAAAGTTACTACTATACTACGAATTGCTTCGAGAGCGATTAATTCGATTGCGTTATCTGGTGCGTTTAGTATCTTAAATTTGAAAAGTTAGAAAACATTGTAGCAAATAATATATATGTTGTGCAGGCAGCTTACCTCATCTCTAAGATATTCCCACAATTCGTCAATAAAAGGGAAGATGGCATCAACTCCGTACACAGGGGCACAGGCTGTCAAAGTTTCTATTGAATCTCTCTAATGAATATAATAAATTTTACAATGTCTATTAAATTTCGATCTTTTCAAAAGGTATAAACTTTCTTGCAATACCCTTGCATTTCCAGATGTAGATGTCAGTTTTTCCAACAATAATGGCATGACATTCTTAGCAAAAAGCGGTGTTGCTGACAAACACTCCCTATAAGTTTATTTTTGGGTATTAATAACTACTCGCAATTCAAATCTCGTAAACTGCCTCGTTACCTTAAGGCTATTTTTAAATCATCTGCAGTAATTCTGTAGGGATCATCAGGTGGTGGCTTGAAGGTGATGGGAAAATAACAAAAGGTAACCTCAAACAACGACTAGAATATTGTTTAATTGAAATTAATGACCAAAATACCGCGAAAAAAAAAAAAAAAAAAAGAAGAAGCGAATTACCTCGACATGTGGAGAAATATCGAATTCCCTGATCATTGTTTTAACTAAGGAAAATGCTAACAGTAGATTTCTTGGATCTTTTTCTCCGTCCATGACACGAATAAAACCCCTAACGAAATCCGTTTCCGGTCGTTTCAAAGCTTTATATGAATGTTATCAGAAGTTTATTAGAAATTCAAAATATTGAATATTATTAAAAATGAAACCTTTTCCTACCATTTAAGTGATTATGAAATAACATGTCGAATATTTGAAACGCTCCGTGACGCGTCGTTTGCTGATGACTCTGAACAGTAACACTCGAAAAAATTCTAGCAAAGAATACGCATTATAATAAACGTTAATCGCAAAATGATAACATAAATATTTAAGTTCACTCACGATTTCGAAATTTTTACTGCGTGTTCGTTACGGAAAGAGTTGAACCGTATGAGAGATACCAATCCACGAATAAGTTCTGGTATGCTTGCTACATCGGATAATCTTTCGCAATAGAAATCTACCAGCACATTTGCTATGAAAAGATTCTTATAGTTAATGCAACATGAAGTTATATAACAGGCGGAATTTAACGCGTGATATAAAGAAAAATAAATTTTTATTATACCGGCTGCCACATTAACTTGTTCTTGAGGGCATTCTTTCAAGACAGCAGATAAAAGCCCCGTGCCTTTAATTTAAATAAATTATTATTTATTTTCAAGTATAACGAGGTGATGGTAATAATGCATACCTTTTGCGCGAATTGAGGGATCTTCACTGGTCAAAGATTCCTCGAGAAATTTAACAAATACAAGTAACGATACTTGACCGCTATGCATGCCTATATATTGCAAATGTTTCATGATTTCGAAGGAAAATATGATTATCGTAAAATCTATTATAATCTTACTTTGCACGATCGAAGAAATAATTGAAGTAGACTCTTCAGAAGCATCATTTGGAGTAACCATATAACTTCTTACGAGACGTTCCATTTCTTAAATGTAATGTTTAGGATACCAATTGAAAAATGAACTCGAGGAGATTGTACGTATTAAGAAATGGGTAACATATTTAAGGATTTTCCAAAAAAGAGACGTGTAGCGAATATTAAAGTTTTCTTATTGGTTCTTGAAATCTAAAATTTTTTAGCGCCTTCTGATCACGTTGTATATGGATAATTTAACGTAGCTCCTATCATCTATCATGTTATATACTGTCAAATAAACTATTCATTATTTTATATATATAGATATTGTGTATATACTGTATATTAACAAGTACTTGTATATCCACTTATTTTTTTATTTATTTTTTATTTTTGTTAGATTAATTATATATTTTTATTAAACTATTTGTAAACTACTGTATATACTATATATTTTTCATGTATTAATAAATCAATTTTTTAATTAGTTCACTTGTTTTAGTATAACCTTAGAAATAATTTATTATTTTATTAATAAATAATTTAAAGAAATATTTTTTAATTATTAATATTATTATTTATAAGTCATTACTCAAATTATAATTAAAATTTTGATTAGAATTAAATTCAATTATTTTATTTTATATATAATTCTATTTATTAATTTTAATAAAATTTTTATCTTTAGATCTATGAATCAATAGTACAGTGATAATGTTCTTAGGTCACAATTATAAGATACGTAGTTTAATACTACTTAAGGATCAAAATTAAAAATTATCTTCTGATCAAATTTATCAGTTATATTATGAAAGTTATATCCAATTATCTGAAATAAACTTAAATCCAGTTAGACTATATAAGAATAAAACTTCTGACCTTTCATCAATTAGGAATTGAAATCTATAATCATATTATCAAAAGAATTATGTAAAGAAAGGTTTCTGATCTAACTCATTATAAATATTTCAAAATCTCTTTATTTTGATAAACTTCAAAACTTCATTCTTCTAGTTCAAAATATTTCAATTTGATATTTTACATAAATAAAAATAAGTCCAAGAGACCAATATGATATTACAAATAATAATAAAAAAAGCAAAGTGCTTTCTTTCAAGATTTAAATAAATAATATTTGGAAATATTAAAAAGTATAACAAATTCCATCGAATATACTGTATATAAAAAAACTAACTTAATAAAACAAAAAAAAATTTTTATAAACTCAATACTAATTAATCCAATCATATTATTAATAACTGTATATCGATCATTTAATCTCTAGTTAAATTTACTTATTTAAAAAGTAATAATAGATCTGATTAGAATTAATCACAATAAATTATCATTAATTTGTGTATATATAGTTTATATAAGATAATTGATATTATATTATAAAATTTAATTATCTAATTTTTTTTTTTAATGCTAACTTATCCTTGTACCAGGGTGAACATGTTTTATTAAAGTAAGAAGATATCTAGGACAACTGAAATTAATAATTACCCATACTATCTAAGAATTTACAAATCAATGAATAGTACAGGGAGTAAACTATTTACATTTTACCCAATCAGAATAAGATAATTACATGATTGTTTAGTGTAGGTAAACTACTTATTAAAACAAAATAAAAAATAACATTAAGTAAAAGAAACTTTTAACTATATTATCTTCAAGACCATATCGATATTTCCTAGAGATATAGCAAAACATGACCTATTAAGTGGCTTATTGCTACTCCAAATTCCATAAGAAGGGAAGGCTAATTTACCAAGGATTCATTTGTAATATCCATCACCTCCAATATTAGGGATTTCTCATGTGGAGCTTTAACTCCACTAGCACTAACCAAAAATTTTTTTATATCATACTACTATTAAGAAAGTATTTGAAAAGAGAAGGTAGTTGCTTAACAAATTAGAATATTGTCTTTCCAATATGTTGGTACTAGGTAATTAAAATCTCTTCTAAAGGATCCTATACCTTGTGATCTTTTTCCTCTGATTATATTTACTGAAGAAGAAAGGAAAAGTGGAGAAGAGTTATAGTTTGTTATCTGATGAGTCCTAATTCAAGTTTCTTTATTCTTTTTGTATAACTAATGATGTCATAGATTTTATGTTTTATATCCATTTGTATGACTGACATGCAACTTATAGTGGACCTCAGGTTCTTATAAGAATTGAGAAAATGCATTCAAACATGTGAAATGGTCAATAGGGACTTGTTTACATCTTAAGTTGCTGATATATTTACATTGTTCAATCACAGCACCAGAAACTTTGTGCTACTCAAAATTCAGAGTCAATTTGAGGTAGGCAAAATTCCCTAGAGAAAACTGTGAAAAAGTACTATTAGTGTATCCATAATAACAAAAGAGTGGTGGGGTTGTCTTTTAAAAAGTCTCTCATCACACCAAGGCTCTATAGTGTTTTTATGGCAGATGAGAGGGAGATAGAAAAGTCAGGTCTACTTTCTTTCAGAACTTTCTTGCCATTGATAAGAAGAGTATAGATATCTTTCTGATCACTAAAAGACAAGTTTTTTGTAGTAATATATAAAAAGAGATAGTGGGGTAGTAAGGTAATTCTTGGAAACCTTGTACTCAAGTTGGTTTAAGGAAAGTGATAAGACTTTATTAGCTCGAAGTATAAAACTTCTTGCGAATGTCTTTTTGTGTGTGGTTAGAGAATCAGTGAAAAGAGTTTTGATAATATTAAATTGGATTTCATTATCTAATAAAAAGTACATATCTAATATCATTTATGATTTAATAAAATCTTTTGATTTTTTTTTTTTTATTTTTAATACAAATTTGATTTTGATAGACCTTTTTAAATAAAATATATTATCTATTATTTAATTTTATTTTTTTTAAAGATATTATAATATATTTTTATATATGACCCAATCTATGGCAAAATATGATTAGTAGACACAAAATATATTAGTAGCTGAATGTAAACAAGTCTCTACTAATTACCTTATGTATTCAGATAATGTTATTAATAATTGAAAGAGTTAATTGATACTCCATGTCTATCCCATTCCTCCAATTGGGTTAATCTATAGATCAAGTTTTATAATACTAATAAGATATGAACAACAAGTTCCTAGATATTGAAAAAGTTGCTATTTTTTCAAACTGAAATCTTTCTCTTCTATTATTTCGATCAGGCAAAGTTCAAGATCAAGGTCTTCTTTTTATTTTGATTAGGCAATAAAACTGAATAGTCTCTAATCCATGCTAAGCTTCAACTCTTTGGTTACAGTTGAGAATACATTTCTTCAGAAATTGTTAAAAGATATTGCAATTAATAAGGATCTTTATCACTTTCAAAACCCTCCCACCATTACAAAGCAAAAAAATTATTGGAAAATTTGATCTTTTGAATAATGAAAGATGTACATTAGTAAAATTCCTTTAACTAGGCATGACTACTGGAAGGTATTATACTGAAATAACATGACTCAATTCCCACTGGTCACATAAGAACTTGAGGTCTATTATAAGTTATCTCTTTACTATAGGTAAATAAAAAATCACTGCTCAAAAAAGGTTGGAACCAAATATGTCCTGAAAGTAAAGGCTTCCACTAGGTGATAAGTCTTCTCAGACAAGAAAATCAAGATCAAGAATGGATAAGTTCCTCAGACAGTTAGAAAAAGAAAGAATATCTCAATTAAATATTTCTTATTAAGAAGAGATCTTGATAAGTAGGTATTTGAAGGAAGCTGAAAATTTTTTTTCAATTTTTATCTGTTTTCTTGTTGTCTATTTAGAAATTTTAGAAATTTTCTTTCCTTTTTTCAACCTATCCTTTTATAGTTTCCTGTATTCTAGCGACTTAGTTAGATATATAGCAGTGACAATCTGCTATCAATAATATAGTGGACTAGAAGAGTTTTTATCCAAAGACACTGTGAAATGAAATATTGTTTCCAAGACCAAACTTAGAGACTTTTATACTTATTATGAGTTAGTTAGATTAAAATAATAGTTTAGTTGTAGTATATATTATGCTGTTTGAATGAAAATGTATTTATGTTTTCAATTAATTAATAAACTAACAATCTAATTTGACTAAGAGTACTCAAAAAAAAAAAAATATAATATATTATTATATTATATATTTTATATCTTATATTTTAAACTCTACAGTAATGACCTGTAGGCAATGATTTTATTAATTAGAGGAATTATTCAAATTAGTAAAGGAGTGAAATATCA